TTATTAAATGGAGACAAAATTACTTAGATTAAAAACTGGTTTACTTTAAGTCTTGTTAAAATATATGTTATAATAAATGTGCTAACTTCCCACAGGAAGAGGCTGAGTATGTACCATTTAGCACAGTATCAGGCACATAGAAGTCACTATTTATTGTCAGTTCAGGAATAGAATGCTGTGTATCATACTAAGTTTTGGGAGTCTGATAATTTTCAACATCAATTCTGCTTAGTAATTACATTTTTAAAGTAAAAACTTATTCAGAATTTTCAATCGATTTATCAAAACCCAGTACCAATTCCCCCGAACAAATGGTAAACCAAACCACACAACAGAAAGTTTGTATTTTACTAATAGTAATTACTTCGTTCTTACTCTTTTTTCAAGGATGTTCAAGTCACTACGGTGGGTAAATTTCTTATTTGACGGTCTACTATAGGCATTTATAAGTAGACCTTAACATATTTTCCATAAAACTCCAACTTTTAAAGGTAAGTCCAACATAGTAAACTTATTTACTACGAGTTCACTTTGCTTCCAACCCTGTCTTATGCACCTACTCATTTCTGCGAACATCTAGCTCGTGAGCGGCCCAGAGCGACACACAAAACAAGTGCACCAAGCAGACAATTAGACAAAGGCCTTTAAATGCAGGTGACTAGAAAATAGGGCAAAAATCATCATCATTTTACGCGCAACATACAAACAGGCTACTCTGGGCTTGCAAAGATAGGGAGTGCAGACTCTCTTTAGTCTGGTGTAAATAGACACAAATCTCCACAATTTCTTAACAACGTTAAGTGTCCCTCTATGAGACTTCCCTGATTACAAACGAAACGGACCTAAATGTGGATTAAAAATAAAAAAGGGTCCTTTGTATCAAACTATGAAAAATCCAGGTAAGGAAGGGCCTTGGGTGCCCACGGGGCCGGAGAAGCGATGCTATGGGTGAAGTCGTAGACATAGTGCAAGCTTGCAAGGGGCTAAAACCAGCCATAGCTACGGAGGCAGGCCTAGAATCAGGAGCGAGAAAAGCATCGTACTTACCGCTCTCCACCTTAAATTTCTCGTGCCGCCCCTTCAGGCCATCGATCTCGGACTGCTGGTCTGCCAAGAACTTCTCAAGTTTGTTCTGGACAGACTTAGGCAGCTTGTTCAGCTCTGTCCGCTCCAGGACTTGCTGCAACACCGCCGCCATGTCGGCTGGGCCAGGGACCGCAGCGGCAGCGGCCGACGGAGCAGAAATCGAGAAGAAAGGCGAAGACCAGGAGGACCCAGAAGCCTGGGCGGCCGCCTCTGCCACCTCGCTCGGTGGCTCGCGCGCGCCTGCCCGCCGGAGACTCCCGCGGCGGGACCCTGGGAAATCGAGTCCCGCGTTAGCGGAGGCACCTGAAGCGCCACAGCGCCCGCGCCCGAATGCGTGCGCAGCCGCTGGAAACTGTGTACGCTGGGAATCCGAGTTCAGAGGCGGCCTCTGACCCGGTGGTGCTTTTGGATTTCCGGCTCCCCTTTCCACCCGCTTCAAGCCTCGCAGGCCTCTGGGAAACGTAGTTTTTTTCTGAACCCCTCCCGGGAGCTCGATTCCGCGTTGCCCGTTCGGCTTCCTCTTTTTTCCCCGCCCCCCCGGCTCTCCTTTCCCGGCCGCGTGACCACTGTCCGCGAGGTGGCGCCACATAGTACTTATCAACCCACGTCCCTTCCCGAAGAGCAGGGCGTCCTTACCGTCCAAGCTTCGGGATGCCATGGGTCGTCCTCTTTGGCGGCTTCTAGACACTGAGCCACTAGAGGGCATCGGTCCCGGCAGGGCCGGACGGCAGGCGCCGGGCTACCGCCACGCTCTCAGTGGTGCCCGGAAGGGGGCGGGGTGGCGACCGCAGTCGCTTTGGCTTAGGCACTGCAGTGAAGGCAGGGGGGCTGCGCGCGTCATCAATCTGCGCCAGCCGACTCCGGAGACCCTGGGTTTGGAGTGGGAAGTGAGGTGTGGGAAGTCGTCGCTTTCTGATGAATTCATTGGCTGTGGATTTGGGACTAGAGGAGAATCTGGCCCCCGGAGGCTCGTATTTGCAACTTAAACTCCTTTCTCAGTCGGACTGACAGTGCGACAGATTTGTCCGCCACGCGTGCACATTCTTAGCACAGGTGAGTTTCAGCCTACGGGTGTAATTCGTGTGTGTGAGGGTTGTGTGTGTGTGCACTTGGGCACAAGAGGGCTTCTTTTTCAACGCTGAAAGAAAGGAACAGAGTGTAGGAAATATATGGACAGGCACTCCGGTACAACACACTTAATTCCAGTTATGACAGATTCACCTTATTCGAAACGGCATTTTAGATGCCTTTGTAAATTTTATTTTATTGTTGGTGGCGCGGTGGGCAGTGGGTAACAGTGATCCAACAGGAATTTAAGAACCCAGTTCATTTTTCAGGAAGATTTAAGGAAGCTAGGCATTTGTAACCTTTGTTTGCATGTTTTATGGTAACGTTGCAGAAGATGTTACCTTATATTTGCGTTTTTAAAATTGCAAAACTGTTGTAACAAAATTTTAAACACATTCTTTAAAACCACTTCTCATTGTTACTATAAGAGAACTACTTGTTTCCAGATCTACTTCTGTGACTTCTCAGCTGAATCTGTAGATTGTTTCATGTTTGATTACTCTTCTAAAATAATTTATTAAGTTATTTATCGAAAATAAAGCATTAATAATGTTGTTCATTCTGCAGTTCCCACAGTGCCAGTACTTTTTGTATCAGTAAAGAGCTTATTGTTGATTTTTCCCAAAATATTTTATATTAGCACTTTAAGACTGCTGGTATGTGCAGCATTGTACTATCCTAGGCCCACAATATTATATTATTGATCTACCATTTGGAAAATGGAGATATTCTGCACTTGAACTCAAAGAATCCTAAAATTAGTTAGGCTAATTCTTTATTTTGTACACTAGGCAGAGTCCAGGGAGGTTGAGTTGTCATAAGTCACAATACTTGGATAACTTTTAAAGCTTCTACTGACACACAACATTTCAGGAAAAATTGAACTGTGGTAAGGCAAGATCTACCTTTTTAGCAGTGTCCTTTGTAAAGTATGGTTGGCTACATTTGAAAGTTTTGAAGGAACACTAAAAGAAATTATTTGACATTCAACTAGATTTCATAACCCAGTAGGTTTTTATCATTTTATTGCATTCAGAATCTCGTATTAGCATGGCTAGTAGGTGACACCTTCAAAGAAATGAAATTACATATCATAATTTTGGAGTCACTGTCACTGTTATTCCTTGCAAGAATTAGGAATTATTAGGCTAAAAGGAAAGTAGTAAAATAGCCTTACGAAAGTTTAATATGCAGAAATGCATACTTTAAGTCTCTACTGAAAGTGGAAAGCCCTTTCTAAAGGCATTAATGATTTAAACAGTTCTAGTCTTAATCTAAACAAAAATGGTGTCAAAACCAACTTACTTGCATGGAAAAGAGGTAGGAAAAATGTAATGCACTTTGAGACAAAACTGAGCAGGCTCTTTGAAAAAACAGCATCCATTAGGCCATTTCAAATTGGAACCAATTCCTGGGCTTTAGTTTTAGAGTGATGCAAAATCACTGTGAGTGGCAGTTTACTGGTGTCAGATATGTTACTCTACAGTTGCACATCTACAGTTGCCTTGACTTTGTTGTACTAAGACTGAAATTTTTGCAGAACTCAAATGACTATTCTATTCAAAATGCTGCAACTGTGTTCCTACAGTCTCCTGTGTCTATTCTACAGCTTTTTAAAATGCCATCTCTTTACATGTTTGTCTCCCACACTGAATGTGAACTTGAGATCATTATTCATTATTACCTAGCTCTTTTATTCAGCATCTTCGGGTTTAAGCTACAGAAAATAAAATCAAAGGAGCATAAGCCAGTAAGAGGAATACACATATTTTCATCCATAAACTGAAGAGAGCAGAACAGGAGTTACCCTTAGTAATGGTTTAATAGAGAGACTGGTTATGATTCTTCGCTAAGGGCATGGATTCTAGAGCCAGACTGCTTGAATTTAAATCTCACCTTTGCCACTTGGGCAAGTTACATTACATTTCTTTTAGTAGAAAATATGCAAATGTTTGTTATTATTGCATTGCTGTTTACTCCCATAGCTCTTGTTGTACTATGAGTTACTCAGTGGCAGAGGTCAAATATTTTTCATCTTTGTACCATACCACCTGGTACAATTTCCAGCAAGTAGTAGTTCTTCATAGTACGCTTATCGAGTAAATGAATTCGATTCTGTCGGCCTTTCAGTGAGCAAATCAGAAGTAATCATTTTTCCTCTTAGAAATGAACACACCGAGGCTCAGCAATAGCTTATCTAAGAGAATGGAGGAGTAGTACATCTGAAGTAAGAAATTGGGTCTGTTGGCTACCAATTTAGTGTCCTTTCCTTTATCCCAGGTATGGAAATAAGTTTCATCTCTCATGTCAACTCTGGTTGATTGGTAGTCATTTACTGCAGCACTGTGTTGAGAATTTTGAGCTCCATTTTAACTTTGTGAGTTAGAATACCCTATTTAAAAAGCAATTGCTGAAAGGCATATGGTAATACAGGGTAGTAGCACTTCTCTCTATATAATTCTCCTCTTAAGAAAAACATTGCAAGTTGTGTTTTTTCCCTAACAATACTATATATTTTTTTTCTTTAGGAGATTGAATTCATTCTCAAAAATGGGAAGAACCTACATTGTAGAAGAGAATGTTGGTCAGTATCTTTTAAACGTCGATCTCCAAGGAAAGGCTTTTGCTTCTGGTCTTTTAATAGGGCAGGTATGTATCTTTTACTGTGCATTTATCGATGAAACAAATTACCTGTTTATTCAAAGTAAAGATATGCTATTTAACAGTAAACTCAAGGTTAGGGGATGGAGGGATGGCATGTAGACGTAAATTTAAAATAGATCTTTGAGGAAAAACGTGGAGAAGTAGGATAAACCTAGTCCAGGTTTGCTCAAGTCAGAACACATTCCCTTTTGACAATTTAAAAGTTATTTATAATGTAGAAACTCCAAAATTAGAAATTTTACTGACTACGTTACTCGTATTGTGTTTCCAAAGTGTTTTGTACACTCTCCTAATCTTTATTAATTCCTGGTTGTTCCGTTATTTACAAAAGTACTTCTTGACAATTTTATTCCCATCCTAGTTTGTCTTACTTCAGACTTGTAGCAACAGTGGTCATATATTTTGTTACATACTATAGTACCAATCTTATTGGATTTTTTTAAACACTGATTCAATGGAGAGGGAGGGAAAAGAATTGGGAGAAATTTGAAAATTAGACAAATTCTATTTCTTTCATAAGGTAAGCCTTGAAAATCGACACAAAATGGGCCAGAGATTTGGACAGTTACTTTGAAAACCATAAGCACCAATCTGTGTAATTGAAGGAAGACCATATTCATCAGGAGGGAGGACTGATCAGCAATACAAAGGAATAACGAAAAAAAGAGAGCCACGTAGACCAACTGTCTATATGTGTCTAAGCACTATTTAGGGAGAGTGCTCTTGGACTTGATTTTGAGACCTACTATCAAATAAAGCTCTATCGTGACAATTTTCTTTCTGGATATTTTATCACGATGGCTTAGAACCTTCAAATTGCATAATTAACTTTCCTTATTCTGGTCTATCTACATTCCCAAGCTACTTATAATTTGATGCCCCGTGTTAACTACTTATAAAGAAAGCACTGTCTACAGGACTCATTTATTTACTGTTTCATGGTCACAAATCTGATTTCTTGTAAGACAGAGTACTGACCCTGTGCTACTCACTCAACTGGTACTATCCTATGAGGCCTCTTGTTAGATAGCCCAACTGCCTCTCTTGGCAGCAATCTGAACTTCTTTTTGATTCCGGTTACTTAATATCAGTGTAGGGCTCTTTTTGCTAGGGAAAGGTTTTTCACTTCCCTTTATTTTAAAAAGTTTAAGGGAGGTAGAGTCATAGAGAAAGATATGATCAGTAAAGATAAAGGCCAGCGAGAAATATCCTCTTCCAAACTCGCCTGACGGCACATGGACTGTTTTTGGAGTTCAGAAAACCACCATCTTACAAATGAGTCTCCCACAATTTGGATGTTCTTTCTAGTCTTTCTTCATGCTGCCTTTTCATTCCCTCCACTATTCTACATGTTTTTCTTCCTCTTTATTCCAAGGTTCATTGCATTTCTCTCCTTCCTCTTAAGCTTATCTGTTTCCTACTCCTAGGGTCCATTTCTTTTTCTTTTTAAAGTTATAGATTTTATGAAAGGAAGAGCTTTCTGAATCAACACCTACCTTTTTCTGTGTGCATTTGAATCTAACTCTCTGGAAATAACCTTTGGAGAAGTAATTTGTCTTTATTTTCTATTCTAGGATGCCACTAATGATGGGAATTTCAGGTCATATATGAGGATGACACCATGCTAACTTGTATTATCACCCTTATTTTTACTCTTTCTTTATAGGAAACTTTCACTATAATGAAACAGCTCTTAAATGGTCCCTAAATTTGTCTTTAGCTTTCCCACCTTTGGTTACAATTTAACTGCTATTAAAACTGAGGAACATAAATCCGATATTACTTCAATTATGTGTCTCACATCCCCTTTGTTTTTCTGTGGACACATGCAGTTCCCCTGTTATCATCATTTCAGCAAAAGTAAGATGCTCAAGATCATTTGTTGCTTTATTTCATTTGTTGTTTTTGTATTTGCTGAACCATCCAGTCTTTTCAAATTAAGGAAATAAATGTAATAACTAGAAAGTTGACCAAGCATATTCATTATCTTTTAGTTTAAATGTAGTTCATTCACTCATCCAGTAAGCCATTTTTAATGATCACTTTGTGATTCACATTTTGATGTCCAAATAAATAAGGAATGGATGTTAAATATATTCAAAGATAACATGTGAGGGAAATATTGTAAGGCTGTACATGAAAACTGCATTCTCTATAGATTCTGTTATAATATAGGTATTAACAATTTAAGCTGCTATAGATATTGCTCATGTTGTAAGAACTTTACATTCCTCAATCAGATATCACTCTAATAAGCTTTTCTAATTTGTTTTTAAGTCTTCTTCACAAAAGGATTATGTGATCCTTGCCACTAGAACACCACCCAGAGAGGAACAAAATGAAAACCTCAAACATCCCAAAGCTAAGTTGGATAACTTGGATGAAGAATGGGCCACAGAACATGCAAACCAGGTCATTGTCTTCTTCTCTTTATGTAGTTAAGTTTGTGTTTATTGACTGACAAAATAAAAGCCCTTTATCCTCGGGTTATTAGATTAGGACTTCAGATTACACATTCTTAAGTTTTCAAAACTTGCATTTTTCTTACTTGAAGTAACAACAAATGGTGAAACTAGAATTTGTACCCAGGGAGTCTTACTTTTTGATCTTATATGCTGTGCTTTTCCATTGTCAGCCTTTATCCATTGTATTTTTTAAGGTATATCTTGTTATGGGTCATTTAGCTTATTTCCAGTTTTTCTTTACTTTAAAATAATACTAGTTATTGATAATATAATTTCTGGTCAGATTTAATATAGGCACTGAGGGAATAAAATCATGATTAGTTTTTTGGGTTTTTTTTTTTTTGGTAGCCTCAGAATTTATATTTTAACCAAAGCAGAAGACATTATTACTCAAATCGGTTGTAAGAGAAATGAGATAAAAATAGAAAAGTACTGTAGGAAATAGAGTAGGGAATGATTTCATATCTGCTAATGGCTGGATTCAGACAGCTTCATATAAGGCTCTGAACTTGAAAGATAAAGAAGACTTTGCCAGTAGAACTCAGGAAACACACCGGATGCACAAAGGACAGTATGGATAGATGACCCAGAGGCATAAAAGTGAATGGAATGTTAGGAGTAGAGCAACCAATTGGATATAATTGAAACACAGGATATAAAAAAGAATATATTTAGATATAAGAGTGTAAGGGGCCAGTTATGGATGGTTTTAGAGTCCCATCCTAAGAAGTGAGGAGTTTGTTTGGTAGATAGTAGCTCTGTGATAGACTTCAAGAGCTTCTTCTTTTGGGAAGGAGTTAATATAATTGATCTGTCAATAATTTAGAAAATAATTTCAATGTGTCGGTCCAGTAAATGGAGACTGGAGACAGAACAGAAGACACACAGTTATAGCAATAGTCAAAAAATGATAATGTGAGTCTAAACTAAACTCTGAGCCTTGTGAGGGCAGGGGTCACATCAGTTTTTTTATGGCTGTATCCTCAGTGCCAAGCATAGTATTTTCATGGTTTATAAGGAGAACTCCAAAGTATTAGATAAATGAATGCATGAACAAACTAATGCAGTGAGCTAAAACTTCATTGCCAGAGCATTTCAGAGGAGCAGTTAATATCAAGACTGTTTGGTGATCAAGTAGATTGGGAGTGAAGGCATATTGTGAGAGAGCAGGGAAGATTGCTCAGGTGTTTAGCCTGGGCATCTGGAAAGATGGTGTTGCCATCCCATGGGGAGGAAACTGATTTGGGGGTAGGTGAAAGAATGATGAGTGAATTCACTTAAAACTAGTTATTGAATGGATTATATCATCTAATAAAGAATGTTGGAATAAGGTAAATGTAGAATTATTTCTTGCTTTAATCAACTTTAACTCTTAAGCACACACATGCTTGTTGGTGTTTGTGTGTATGCATTTGTGATGGGGGTTGCTATTTAGTTATTTAAAAAAATCCAAGAAATACTTAATGCCTTTTTCTAACAAAAATATTAAATATTTTAAACTTAAGTTTCCCAAGAGTTTGTAAATATATATATATACACACATAACGTAGAGAGATGTGTATTATATACATAACAATGTATATATGTACACATACAGAAACATAAAATTTATATAGCAAAATAGGTTAACATTTTTGCCTCTAGAAAGAAATGGTTACTTTTATGTTTGTGATTTTGAAAAGATTTGCAGGTACTCCATGCTAAATATGAAAACTGTTCTTTGTTTATATGTCAAGCTTGTATTACTATAATAAGTAGAATTTATGAAGTTAGAGGGAACCACCAGCTGATGATACAATGCAGATATTTTATGGATTAGACTATGGTATCTGGCTTTTGGAACACTTAATTTTATGATCAGTTTGCTTATACGTTAAGTACACAAAAGATACCCAGAGCACTTTTATCTCTGAGTATAGATTGTAGGAAGAAATCCATGTGGCAGTAAGAATTAGCCACAATCATGTGAAAAGAAATAACAGATATTATGGAGAACAAACTGGTAGTCTGTATCAGAAACCTTAAAAATATGGTAACTTCTTAACCTAGTAATCTACCTCATGAGATTTATCCTAAGCAAATAATTCTGTGTACACTGAAAGACTTGCCAGGATTTTTAACCAATACTATTTTAAAGTAAAGGAAAATTAAAAATAACATAAATGCCCAATGCATCAATAAACAGGTTTAAAAATTTGAAATAAATCTAAACAATAGGAACCAATGGATTTTCAAGTCAGATTCCCTGTTGGAATTCCAGGTTCTAGTATTCTGCTAAATATTATAGAAATATAAAGGTAATTGAGAATTATTTCTTTCCTTAAAGAGCTCCCAGATCAACTAGTAAAGTACCCAGATAACTGTAATACAGGCTCGTGCGATAAGCCCCATGGGAAAACTACACTGAAGTCCCATGGCAGTTTGGAGAATAAAGGATCAGGGAAGGCAGCTTCCTCAAGCTTGCTCTGAACTATTCAATAGAGTCAGATGTGCAGAAGTATAAGAGAGAGTCAGTTCAGGCTGAGGGAACAGTATGAGTAAAGGTAGAAAGTTTAGAACGCCTAAGCATATGTATAGAGAACAGTGAGAAATTTTTGATTGTTGAATATTTTAAAGTAGTGTCAAATGAGGCTCTGAGTAACAGATTAGGCAGATTTTAGAGAGTCTGAAATACCAGTCTAAGGCAAAATTGATATTTTATGTAACTGATAAAAAAGCCATTGGAAACATTCTAGAAGATGTTTTAGTCTTTGATCTCATGAAGTAAAGGGGTTTGTTTATTGATGTAGCTAAAGGGTGTCATAATTAAATGGTTTTATTTATTAGGTAATTTCAGGGTAAAAAGTTTAGGACATTTAGGAAGACTGTGTACATAATGACACCCCATTCATCTTGGTTGTCAACCATTTCTTAGTATTTTAACTGATTTTTCAAAGTCTTTACCTCAGTGCTGTGCATTAGTTGGTACTTAGTAGATATTTGCTCATTTAATATGTAGCTTCTCAAAAGGATTGCATATAATGCCAAATGCTTATATTAGCTAACACTACATTTCTATTTTTCAGGTATCCAGAATGCTACCAGGGGGACTTTTAGTTCTTGGAGTATTTATTATTACAACTTTAGAAATGGGAAATGATTTTCAAAATGCCCTGCGCAGAGTAAGTCTGAAATACCAAAATTTTTAATATGACCAAAGTTACGTCTTATTTTAATTGATTATCCATATATACAATGATATGAAGTTATATCTTATTTTAATTGGTCATACATATATACAGTGATCCTAGGGATAGTGTTCCATAATACTTTATGTTAAGATTATGTTGAAACAGCTTTTTCACCCACTTGCTTGGTATCTTATGTGTAGTAAATGCCAATATTTATATTTTCAGTCAAAGCTATGTATTTTAAAATGGTCTTCATTTTAAAGATAGTTTTTTACTATTATGAAACAAGTTATAGTGATTTAACTGGTTATACAATGGCAATATTCTGCTAAAACTTCCGTTTAGTTCCAAGTGATTGCTATAATGCAAAATTAATAAGTTTTACAATTCTTTACCTGTTCAATTCTCTCAAGATTCTGAGAATAAATCATAAAATAACAACAATTAGATATTTTTTATTCCTAGACAGAGTATCTAGGAATTATTTTTGTTTGTTTGTTTTATTCCTACATCAATAATTTAGGTACCATAGTCTAGAAGTAAGTATGAAGGTCCACAAGCTTTATCCTTAAGCCTAAACCTACAGCAAACGCCACGGTTAGCTTTCAGCTCTTTTCAGCTCTTTTGGTACTGAAGATCCAAAGGAGCCTTTAAAAAGTTGTTTCTCGTCCCAAGATAGAAGGGGACCCCATAATCCTGAAAAATACAAAACCCCACAGAATTCCCCCAAAACTTTTTGTAGTAATAATGTGTGCAGCTGAGAATCCCATATGCTACAGATTCTTCCAGTTTTATAACCTTTCCTATTAAATGTCCCACCCTCAAACCTTTGATATTTGTGCCTAAGGGAATAAGAGAGGAAAAAGGAGATATTCTCCTCTCCTAGCAAGTTTTTCAACCTTCTGCCATCTTTTCTATGTTTAACAAATTTACATTTCAGTTATTCATCCTCTTTGGCATTTTGAAATACAGTCTAAATATATATTTAATAGCATTAGTTGTGCATCCTTTCGTGGTTGGTATTGGGTTAAATGGAGTGAAAATAGGCTTAGTGCTAGAGAGATACAGTCAGGACCTCCTTTTTTTCCTTTTTCTATCTCTTTAGTTCCTAAGAAACATATAAGACTAGAAATGTTGTATTTCAGAAATTATTGAGTTTCAGTTATCTAAGTTTGTTTCCATTGGCCTACACTCAGGGACACAATGAGAAATAATCTTATAAAACTTGTTAGCATTTCCCATAATAAGGTCATTGTTAAGAACTTTGTTATTTTATATAACGTTGTCTTTGAAGAAATTTCTTTTGATATCATTATGAAGAAAGTTGTGCCTCTCTGATCAAGTGTTTTCAGCTTATGGCCCATGTGAATTCGGTAACAGATTAGGTTTCTCTGTGGACATTATTGTTAGAAAGCTTAGTCAAATTTATGAATCCTCCCCATATCAAATATGCATTTTTGTAATTCTGATTTCTGGCATAAATTTGTTACTATTTCTGATTTTATTTCATTTTTATTTTATTACTATATTTTATATGTTCTTATATATTTTCTTATATCTTTTTTATTTAAATAAGAAATGCCAAATGGGCAACATGTTCCTTTTTAAAACATTAATTAATTAATTTATTTTTATGGTGACATTGGTTAATGAAATCTGGTAAGTTTCAGCTTTACATTTTAACAGTAAAGCATATATATTTACATCGTGTGTTCACCTCCCATAGTTAAGATTTCTTTCTGTCACCACATATTTTGTAGGTTAAAAATCACTTGTCATTTCTCATTCTCATTAGAATAGTCCTTATTCTGTACTTCACTTAAATGTTAATTACCCAAAATTGATTTTTCATGTCCAGTTGATCCTAATGACAGTGAATTTACATTTTTCTATTTAAAACTCAATTGCCCTATTTCCCTAAAAATGAAATCCAAATGGTTAATAATTAGTTTCTCTCTTTTGAAGAAAAGGAAATTTAACGATAGAATCGTGGAATTTTAAAGCTAGGGGGCTTAGGGACATTGTAATTGTCCTTTTCTGCACTTACTTTTCTTCTTTTGTTATGCATTTAATTGATGTGTACTTTCCTCTCTTTCAGCTAGTGTTTGCTGTGGAAAAATCTTTGAATAAGAAGAGACTGTGGAATTTCACAGAGGAGGAAGTCTCAGAACGAGTAACACTTTACCTTTGCTCTTCTACAAAAAAGTATCTTTTATTTATGTGTTTATGTTTTAAAGAATACGATACCAAAATAATGTTCCTGCAAGTGTTCCCCCCAAACATCTATTTAAATCATTTAAATAAAAATAGGCATAGTTTGTAAGTTTTTCTATAAATAATGCATACTTAGGATTACCAATAATAATAATAGTAATAATGGCTGTTAATCATGTCTCAAGGTTGAGAAGGGTTTGAGAGGGGTGGCAAGGACTGGGGGATTCTGAACTCTTTCTATCAGTTCTACCCCTGAACAGTGAAGCACAAAAGGTCCCCTGCAGAGAGAGAGATCCAACTGACAGCTTAGGCAAAGTAATACTTTTATTATCTTAAATTTTCACCTGTAAACAATTGCTATAGATAAAATGTTTAATTCAAAGCACAGGTGCACTGAGCTGGACAGTTAGGTCATCCAAGAAATTTTTATGTCTTTGGCCAAGATCAAGTGACACTAAAAGCCTGTTATAGGGCTTCCTTAGCTTTTTCCTCTACATCTTGCCAGGGCAAGCGTACCTCCCAAGCAAGAGGCAGCCTTTCTGGGGGAATAAAGCAATGCAAAGTCCCAGTCGATGAATTAGGACTTGAAAAAGAAAAATTCAAAAAGCGGTCTTTCCTGCAGAAGTGGGCCTTTTAACTCCTTTAATATTTAACTAGAAAGTTACATGTATAGGATCTTTGATCCAATAAACATTCTTAGGCTTAACTTCATCCAAATCAGTACCTCTATTTGTTATAGAGGGTGTTTATTTGAGGAAAATTTTGCAAATGCTTTCATTCTATTAATTGTGATTAGCAGAATTTATAAGCAGTGGGAAATAGTTTAAAGCACCATAAGAACTATGGTCATGTATGGATATATATGTGTATATATACCAGATATATGCAAACATATATATACATATATGTGCATATATATCTTTAAGTGTATAAAGTGGTATGATTTCGTAAAAACTCTTGGATGCATGCACTTTAATTTTTCTTATTGTTTATTTTCTTTTGATGATCAAGAATTCTTTTTTCGATCATTTCTATCCTTAATTAGTAAAGAGTATTTTGTCGAACTTACGATGTCCATGATCCCAAGGTAAGAAAAATTGCTTTTTAAAGATTTTTCTGTGTTGCAAACTAATTTTAAAATAAAATTTAATTCTTTATTTATTTTTAATAGTTTGCAATGCTATAACTTGCTACTGATGTCCACAACCACCTGCAGCTTTTTATTTTGAAATATAAGTAATTTCGTTATAGGCAAGGAAAATTTTTTTTTTTTATTGCTAAACTTTTTGTGTTAAGCTCCCCCTGCCTTGTTTATGTGGTTAGTATTATATTTGAGAGACGTAGTAAAAGTATGTGGTCTTTTGGTAGCTGCAGTGCCTGGTAAGCAAGCTACCTGTACTCAGCAGAATCCATACTAACATTTTACTACGATGTCTAAAGCAATGTGAAAAAGTAACTTTGCAGTATTGTATTTGCAAGGGTGGAACAGAAGGGAGAATGTCTGACACCTAGTGGTCTCTCAGTAATTATTTGTTTCACATCAGAAGCTTCAGAACTGACACTGTTGAAACTACAGATGAGAACTAGAGGACCAGAGGACTTGTCACAATTCTAAACGTGGACTGTCTGATCCTTTTTCAGCCTACCTCTGGGGGAAGGGAGCTGCCAAGTTCAGTATTCTGAGGGTTTCTGAACTTACATGCACGCTTTATTTTTATTTAGTTTCAACCTACTCCCCTTTGAATAGAGGATTTGGTCAAATATGTTAGCTGTCAGCTTGTGTGAGTTATTACATTGTCCATATTATAATGTTTTATTGACCTGTGTATTTTACCTAAATTACATGTTTTATGGTTTTTCCCCCTTCCTCACCGCTAAAGAGTTCAGCAAAACCAGCAGATTGGAAGTATCAAAATGGACTGTCAACTTCATGGATTTCTTTAGAGTGTACAGTTCATATTAATATTCACATCCCACTGTCTACTACTTCTGTCTGCTATACTCTGGAGAAAAATACAAAGGTATCAGGGTAAAATGAATTTTCTTTAGTGATTGCTGAATAGATAATCTGCTTTTATTCTGGGTGTGCCATTTATTTTACAATTCTCAAAATTTGCATTTTAATTGTGACATTGTTATGGGTAACTAATTTATTACCCTAGCCAGATTAGAAATTTAGAGGTGGGACAATGTCATAATACTAATGTATTTAGCATAATAGGTGCTCTATAAATATGTGTTAACTAATCTATAGTTGTATACATTGTTAAATATAGTTATGTAAAATGTAATTATGTAAGAAGATAGACTGGTCTTTTGCTTTCTCTTAGTTTTTAGTTTTGTTTTCCCTTTTCTGGTCCTTTTTAAAAATATCTATACCATCCTTTTGTTTATATCTCATTTCTCTTCTGTTGAGGCAAATGGAGCATGGAGCTTGCTTATTTTTCCTCTTTAATACTGTTTTATATATATGTTTGAGGCTCTTTCCCCTTTCTCATATTTTTTAATGGGAATTATTGAATTTTATTTGACTGTGGTCGTGTAGTTATAAAGTTTCCTGAGTCTGTGATATTAGTATTAATTTGGGATAAAGATTGGGAAAACTATTATTAAGTATAGGTAAGGTGCCAAAAATTGGGGATATATTATTTTGTTGTTAATAAGACTGAGTTTAAATACCACATTACTGATACTTATGGATTTTTACCATTTCAATGTATTAAGTGAAAAAGTAGAATCTAGAGCGTTTAATTGAGATAGTATTATATCTGAAAGATATCCATGTTGTGTTTCTTTTAAGAATGGACTTGCACGCTGGGCCAAGGAAATAGAAAACGGTGTTTATTTGATTAATGGACAAGTTAAAGCTGAAGATTGTGACCTATTAGAAGGACAGGTGAGTTAAGAGAAAATCATCTTAAGAAATTATTTGTGCTTAAGGAAAAATAAAAGATGAGTTTAGTTCTTTAGTTCTTGCCTTCATGAAAACAGTTTTCATCTACTTATTTCTAAAGTCTTTTAAAATAAAGGGCAAATGTTTTTCTCAAAATGATGGAAGATTGTTTCTGAAATAATTGGAAGCCTGAAACTTGAAGAAGGGAATGTCTTCTGAACTCCCATCTAATTTCCAAATTGTAAACTGCTTACTTAAAACTAAAGGCATATATTCTGCCATGATAGCCATTTAAAGATTAAGTTTGGCCATGTTATTGGAGGAGTTGGTACAGGCTTCTAAAATAGCTTTGATCTGAAGAGAAACACTGGTGACCTCTCTTTTCAGAGCAAGGATCAGCTTTACGTAAAAAAAACAAATGTTAAGTGTTTTAGACTTTGCAGCCATATGGTCTCTGTTGCAACTATTTAGCTCTGATGTTGTAGCATGAAAGCAGTCACAGACAATATTAATGAAAGATCTTGGTTGTGTTCCAGTAAAACTTTATTTATAAAGGCTGATGGCAATCTGGATTTGACCCATACACCATAGTTTGCCAATCCTTGCTTTAGAACACTAAAAGTAGGGAATTAATGGTTCTTAAGAGTATACATTAGACTGATAGAGAATACACAAAGTAACATATCCATAGAAAAATCTAAAATAAAATGATACATTTCCCCCTCTAAGTTACTTAGTATATGTAGAGTAGTTCCTGAATTGTCTTGTATATTCCACTCTAATCTCAGTAATATGGTTTTTTAACTTTTTTTTCCCAGAAAAAATCTTCTAGAGGAAATGCTCAAGCAACTCGTCATTCTTTTGATGTCAGAGTGCTAACGCAATTGGTAAATATTTAAAATCCTACTGATCTAAAATACGTTATTTCTTAGAATAACCATTATTAAATTGTTTCTGTTTTCGTTTTTATACTTGGAGAGTCAAAGAATTTTAGACCTGAAAGAGACTAAAAAAATGCCCACTTCTGGGAATGTTACTCCCAAGAAACATTATTTGATTAAAACCTATTTCGATCTTTTGGCCCAAGGCTATTAAAATTTTAGCATAAAGTAGATAGCAATTAAATACACACACATATACATACCTACATGCGTGTACATGCATATATATGATATTTGGGGTCGTATGTTTCTTTAAGAGCAAAGTTGTAATTCATAATTTAAAGGTAAAAGATGTATGCACAGATGTGCCAAGAGTTGTCATATACTTAATTTGAAGTAGATTTACATCTCCACTGATTTGATAAAAATCACACCGTATTAGCAAGTTTTATATTTTTGTGTGGTTAAGTTATACATCTCTTCAGAAATGGAAAGTTGGATAACTTGAAGAATGAAAATTTAAAGCCAGTAATTATTCCTAAAATTATGCATGCTTTTGATTTTATTCCTGCTTGAAGTTGTCCTTGAGAACAGACAGGGTAGAAAGTATGTCCATGTTTTTAGAACACTTTTCATTTCAATATTATACAGGAAATGTTGGAACAGAAAAGTATTATCAGAACTTGTATATTTTTTTAACTGAATAAAATAGGTTTATGAAGATGTTTTAATTTCTTTTCCTTCTCTGTGTTTAGCAACAGAGTATTGTAAAATTGTCAGTTGGATTTATGACACTCAGCATAAGTTCTCAATTTCTCTTCTCAATATCTTAAAAGTATTTTTAATCTTTTGTTTTTCTGCTTTTGATTTTAGCAGTATCCTTTGTCTTAATGCTGTTCCTCTACCTATATGCTTTTTACTAGTTATGCTTATGTAACCTCTTGGTTTATTAAACAATCAGTTAAAATTATTTTAATGATAAAATTGCAGTTGGAAGATGTGTAGAGTGGAACTATCGAAAGGAGTGGAAGAAGATATCATGAGATAATTTATTGTTAACGATATTTAATATATGGTGGTGTATATTTTTGTCAATCATTTTACTGGTCAGCCAACTCGGAACTTTAAAATGACCAATATATAATAAGTAGTCAATAAGTAATTGATGCCACTTTCCTCCTACTCAACCTCCATCAAGTCTTCTTGATTCTCTCTCTGCCGTGTTAAACTCATCTTTGATTTTTGTATGGTCCCACTGTCATTAGCCTTAGAACATTATTTTACCTAGATTATTATTATTTTTTAAAATTTTCTTTTCAAGTAACTCTTAACTGGTCTTTCTCCATCTATTCATTCTTGTCCAATGTGATTCTTCATCTGAAGATCCTGACACCTTTGTTTGTATATATCTTCACACATCTTCCATATTTCTAATCTGTCCTGTGTATAATTTCGATTATCTTTTCTGAATCACAGTTTGCATTCATTCACGTATCCATTTACTTATTAGATTTTTTTTCAGAAAATATTTATTGAGTGTGTGTAAGAGTCAGATACTGATTGTGTTATTCGCCTTACTTAAAATTCCTTAATTGCTCTATATCGACTAGTTAGAAAAGTCTAATCCAGGACTCCTCATAGCCTCAGCATGTGTTTTCATTATTTTCTAATTTACTATTCTAGAGGTATGCTTTCTATGCTTTTAAAATTATGTGTATTTCTTGAGCCATGTGTCTTTCCATTGCCATTTTTTTTCTGTCATCCAGACTGTCAAAAGCCTATCTGGACATCACTAACCCAAATGATACCACTTCCGTAAGGTGACCATAACCAGAGGGATCTTTCCTTTCCCAAAATACCATATCAGTATCCCAGAAGTTCCCGCACTTATGAACAAGTTAGGTTCCCGATGGCTTTTTGTAAGTTAATTTGTTCCTAAGTACAAAGAAACCTAGAGGAGCTGACATTTGTAGAACTCAGATATGTTTCTACCAAAAATGAGTGAGCCAGTCCTTATATCTTTTAAAAACTCTCCTCCGTGTGTGTGTAGTCTTCTATAGAGTCTAGTCTATTTTGGAAAAAATGCCCTAATTTTTACATATATCATGTATATCTTACAAATGTGTTATATGTTAAAGTATATATTATAAATTGGATATTAAATATGTAAAATAAGGCATTATTTTCCAGAATAGAATAGTTCCATCTATAGCAAAGTTCTGCATAGTGGATGAAGGAAGCCCGTTATTCCTTCCTCCACCCTTACCTTGTTGATGTATCAGTGATCTCTACAAGTAACATAGGAAGTTTATTCCAAATATAGTATCAGCGTTGTCACCCTGCTGCTTAGTTTGATGATAGTCATTTTTTGAACGGACCTGGAATCTTCTGACCTATTTGGTGTGTGATACATTTTTTACCAACAAGATCATGACTGTGTTTAAGTTGAAATTCTTGAAGAAAACTAGCCTTTGCCTGATTTAAATTCTTAAAAGACAGAACTACCCTTTATCTAATTACATAGGACATTGACTATTTATGCTCTTTCAGTAGCTGCATATTCAGGTCATTTGATTTCTTCACCGTTTTTCTCCATTTCTTCCTCGATTGTTCTTTATTGCATAGGCACACGGCACTGTTCACAAGTTGCATGTTTTGCTTTTGTTCTTCAGAACTGACCCTATTGTTGAATGATTGATTTTAGTTGTACCTAGAACATATTTTTTTGTGTCTATTTTTTTAAATCATGATTTTTATTTCCATTGTGATTTTATAGGCCTCTAGCAGTACTTTCAATGTTTTGATGTTTTTCTTGTTTTGGTACCTATTAAAATGATGAGATTAAAAATGTCTGTGAAACATCTCAAAACCAAGCATGAACTAACTCTCTTTAGACTAAAGAAAAATGGGACCGTGAGATGAAAACGAATGCTTATAACCACTGATATCATTTTCTGGTGGGAGGCTTAGTCGACTTGCTTTTTTTCTGCCGTGGAGCTTAGAGCATTACTTCCAGTTTATGAAAATTATGAGTTGAAAGTGTATAAATAGGTGAATGTCTATACATTGCTTATAATTTTACCATATTTACCATTGCATTTGTTATTTTTGTGGAAATCTTATATTGTATACTTTGTAACTTCTACTAGATCATGTCTTCTTCATATAGCTTTTCATCTTAATAACACTTATCTGAATAATCTGCAAGTAATATATTTTTAGTGACTATTGATTGGGTCTTGGTACTTTATGTTTTTCTTAGAAAAAAATTAGATGTAGTTTGCTTAATTTCAGACTATATTCAAAATACTCGAAAATAATATATTACTTATAAGGATAAGTATGAAGGCCTTTAAATAATTATGGAGAATATTTGCAAACACTAGATTCAGTGAAAAATTCCTTCATGAAATAGCTTCTATAATGTTTAAATGTTTCATATAGTTAATAATAATATAATGTTAGCTATTAGAACTTAAATTATTTTTTATCTTTCAGCTTCTGAATTCTGACCACAGATCCACAGCCACAGTCCAGATCTGCAGCGGCTCCGTGAACCTTAAGGGTGCTGTGAAATGCAGAGCTTATATTCACAGCAATAAGCCCAAGGTTAAAGACGCTGTACAGGTACAACAGGCAGAGCCAGTATATGAAAGATTGAAGCATGTTAACATAACTATTCAGAAATCCTAAAATTTTACTTTTTTTTTATTCTCAGATTTCATAATTATTAATTTGATTTTAACTAATAAAGGCCCAATCTTTTGGGCAGTCCAATTAAACCATGTGCTTGGTCCCAAGATTTTCATGTGTAAAATATCTATTCTATGCCCTTTTTAAAATGATAATTATGGACATTTATTAAGTTGGTACATATTAGTGCATTTGAAATCATTTCTTTTGAGGGAAATCGAACTTTTTAAGTAACAAGAATAGTATTCATAGGAAGAATTATTAGGTAGAGTTCTGTAATCTATGTAATACAGAAATTTTAAAAATGGTAACTGACTCTTTTGTCAGAGTTATACATTTCCTAATTTGGAACACTAGTATTATTTGTTTAGAAGCAAATTTATTTATTTGGTTTTAATTTACTCTTTAGATGAGGTCAGCAGATTTGTTTTTGAACTATGAATGTGTTAGTAAGCATGTTAAATAAATAGGCATTAAAAAAAGAATGATATACCAGTTATTTTAGTGGACCTAGTTATAAAGGGAAACTAATTATGTGAGGGTTTTTTGCTAATAAAATAATGAAAATCTAAAGTAAAGAATTTTATTTCTTATTGTGATTTGTTTTTCCGTAGGCAGTGAAGAGAGATATATTGAATACAGTTGCTGATCGTTGTGAAATACTATTTGAGGATCTGCTCATGAATGAAATTCCAGAAAAAAAAGTTATGAGTATAAAACGAAGTACTTTTTTTCAATGTATTCAGTTGATAGGATGTCACATTATAATAGTCATATCTTTTATAACGACTATATCTTTAATAACAATATGTTATCTTTTACTTTTCTTAGTGAATGAACATGTTTTTAGTTGCCATCCCCAAAAAAGTTTGTGAACACCTTGCATTAGCAAATCTGTCAACAATTAACAATTTCTGGGAGGACTTAAAAAATAAATTCTGCGTGAATTTCTGCCAGAATGGATAAACTGTGTTAATATTTTAAAGCTGATTTTTAAATTATTATCTATGAGTTTTTTTTAAGAATTAATTCATAATCAAAATATTTATTAATGTTGAGCATTATATAATTGTTTCTTTAATAGATATCTGTAGTATACATGCAATCGATCTCTTGTTCTTACCAAATTTGTTTTGTATACTAGTTTATATACTTTTTATCTATTACTCTAACAGATTTTTAGATTTTAAAAAGGCTGGGTTATGGTATCTTAATCTTTTATAACTATTTTATCTATTGGGAAACAATTTATACCATTTCAGTAATTTGTACTGAAAATAATTTTTGTTTACTCAAAAAGAAAATTATATTGAGTATGTTTTTTGAAGCTACACATTCATCTCTACCTTCCTACTATTCAGATCAGAGTGAATTTGTAACTCACAGTTGAATATGTACGTAACTGAAACATATACCAGCTTGTTAAGGGAATATTTTTATGTTTATATAGGAGAAAGCGTAGCTCCGCTATATAGTACTATCCTCTTTTAGTACTACTGATAGCCAGTATATTAGGTTTAGTGGACTAACCATAATATTTTTTATATTCCTGGTAAGATAGATTCCTGGAAATTGCCAGATTTAACATTTGTCCTTCTTGTATTCCACTAATAATGTATAACTTTGCTGAAAAGTGAATTTGAATATTACATGTAGCAATTAGATTGAGACTTTTGTTTTGGCAAGTATGTGAAACCCGGTTACCTAGCTACCCAGGCAGCCTAGCAGCCTCATCTCATTGTGGCTTCGTTTTTGCTACTTGACTGTATGTATGATAGAGCTCTTGAGTTAAATATTAATTACTTTACTTGCTGAGCAACAGTATGGTTACAACTGAACTGTGAATTTTAGGATTTTCAGGGACATGGAGATATAGCCACCATTAATGCCAAAGATCTATCTTATCACACACATTAGTGAAATACTCTATTCCATTTAAAAATACTTCATGAAAATGGTATCGTATGACTAATTCCTGGTATTATTTTATAGTAAGTGAATTAGTATTTGAAATTTTTGCAGATGTCCAGTCAGTAAAATTAGTTACTTCTAATAGTAGTTGTGATCGTTACACATTAAATTTAATGTATTAGAAGTTAATGTTATCACCTAATACTAAATTTTTTAAAAATGAAAATATATATTTCACTAATTGAGTGGCCTTTGAGGCCTTTGTGACAAGAATAAACCATGTATTCAGTGGAAAGAGCAAAGACTGAACTTCTTGGATTCTCTATCTACTTTGCCACTAGAGAACTGACTTCAGGCAAATGATTCAGCCTGTTCAAACATCTGTTATCTTACATGGAAAACAGGGATTACAGTAGCTACTTTTTGAGAATTATTGAATGATAGTTGTTTTTAAAATTCTTCAACTTTAATTTTTGATAAATGTAGCATTATATTTCAAAAGGAAACCCAAGTGTAAATATATACATTTTTAAACTTTAGTAACAGGATAATTATTCCACCAATGTGTTAGTGTTTCTTAAGATACCACGATAAAAGACTAAATTGCAAGTATAATACTAATACAAACAAATGCAAATTTTGAAATTGAATACACATATATACCAAATTGTTAGATCTTAGATTTAGTCCTCATTTTACTTAGCTTATCATTCTTAAGTACTAGTAAGATCTTGTAGCATGGTAAAATGTAGAAAATATGCCATGAAATTAACCGGAACTAGAGTATTTTTGCATGCATCAGGAAGTCTGCAAAGCACATATTAACTTTATATTCCTTATCTTTAAAGTAAACACAGTCTTTGAATTCTGGCTATCCAGATGAAAGAACTTAATACTTCCATGACAGTAAAAAAAAAATATAAGAATTCCAGTCATTCTTTTTAATTATTGTGATCTTCCCCTTAAGAGGTATTCCATACCTCCTTCATTATTCCCTACCAGCCTCCATTCCATTCTTCCCAACTTACTCTCAGTAGATGACCTACTCCTCGTAAAAATGGAGGTCATCAGTTGTGAAATCTCTTACCTTCTTCCATTCTTACGTCTAAGTCTATCCATACCACTCATCCTCCCAGAACTTCTGTAGTCATCTTTGCCTATGGTCATGGTTCCATTCTCTGGATGGTGCTTCTCATCCCTTCATGCAAATGTCTGCTTATCCTTTAAGTGTTAAGTCAGATATCACCAGTTTTACAAAAGTTTCTGTAATAATTCAGTATGAGTTAAGAGTCTATTCTTAATCAACAGAAACCCAATTCTTATCATATTGGCTTAAATTTAATTTTTTTCTGTTGTGAACTGGTTCAAATAATGTTGAACTAGATACTCTGCTGTGGGAATATTACTAAAGGATTCTTTTTTAGAATACTTTGTGAGGTGTTTTTTTTAAAAAAAAAAAGATAATACCCCTTACTATTCTTACTCTCAGACCAACTAGAAAACTTGATCTTTGATTTTATAGCAAGCATATTTGTCTCTTTTTTAGGCAAAGCTGGGATTAATACAGTTTGAAATAGTTTTTAAATTTTGCATGCCACTTATACATACATATTATAGCCATCATTGAAAAACTTGAACTTAACCTGTTTCAAGAATCTATGGCTCAAAGTAAAATAATCCTAATTTCAAAATTCCTAATTTACATGTTCCAGTACAAATTGCAGTAATAAGATTTTACAGCTAGGAGGCAGTCTAATCAAAGAGTAAAATTGTTCTTGTTGTCATATGAAAACAAGATAGTAAGTTGCATCTGGCAGGAACCACACAATTTACGTATTGCATTTTCCGTGACACTTAAGACATTCTTCATTCTTTGTAGTTATATAAAGCTACTACTAATTTCTTAGTAGAGAATTGTGGGTTACTGTTAAAGTGAGTCCTAGTTTTTTCCCCTTGGTCTACATTGGTAGCTTTTAAAATCATATCCATTGCTGAAAGAATTTATTCTTCACACAGAATCCTTTGATTTATTGATTGACTTATTTATATTTTGTTATTTTTAAATTATAGTTAACATTCAAATATTATATTAGTTTCAGATGTACATAGCATAGTAGTTAGACATTTATATAATTTATGAAATGATCCCCCTGATCCCCCAGTATCCATCTGGCCCTATACATAGTTATTATAATATTATTGACTGTATTCTCTATGCTGACTTTACATCCCCATGACTATTTTGTAACTACCAATTTGTACTTCTTAATTCTTTCATCTTTTTTATCCAACTCCCTTCCCATCTGGCAACCATCAGTTTGTTCTCTGTATCTATGAGTCTTTTTCTGTTTTGTTTGTTCATTTTGTTTTTTAGAATACACATATAAGTGAGAGCATATGATATTTTTCTTTCTCTGTCTGATTTATTCCTAGATCCATCCATGTTGTTGCATACACAAAATCTTTATCTTTGTTGATAGTTCATTAGTATCATGGTGTTGAACCAAAAAATAATTGTATTTACATGGAGCTGTGACTGTTAGAAATTGAGGGAAATATATTTTACTTTATGAGTATTCAAAAAAGAACGAAACAGTTATTCATTATTAATTTAGATCCAGATTGTTTTTTTTAAGTACTTAACATCGTTTATGACAATATGTAGCAGTAATCATGGCCACAGAAATATTAGTTCGTTTATAGCATTTAGTATTAATAAGGATTTGCTCTGTTCAAGGCAATGTGATAAATACAGATCAATGAACAGATTTCTTTTCTCAAGAAGACTGTAACCTGATTTGGAAGGTAGAATGTATATACATTATTAATTATGCAGAGAATGTAATAAGGTCCTAAGAGTAAGAATTTAATCAAGAGTAATGATCAGAATAATAAGTATTACTAATAACTTGGGAAAGGGAACATGAAAAGAAATCAAGGTGGAGTTGGTGGTGAGGTTAGTATACAAAACACGTATCTTGATGTCATACACATGCTTGCTATAGCGGGTTATTAGCATCTAATAAGATGGAGTCAGTGGTGAGATTATTTTGTACATACATTGTACAAAAAATGTATGCTATTATATCCCCTACACTTGATGTAAATGGGCCTCCAATTTGGCTCCAAACTTACACAAAGAAGGGAAAAATTATTTATAAAATTCGGTAATTGTAAAGTTAAACAGGAAAAACAATTTTTGAGGCCAGTGCCAAAATTCTCTCCTGGGTATTCCTTTATAGGAAAGTGGATAATACGAGAATATATAATCAACAACATCCTGACACTGAAGTCAGTGATAGGTTTATGTTTCATAGGACTATCATTTAGGTTCTTTTCAGAGTCCAGGGGTATTGAAGTAAAGCAGGATTCAGTAAGAGCAATTTTGTGTAAGATCAATTAGAAAAGGAAAATACCTTTTAGGTTTTATTTCTGTTAGTATATAATGCTTTCATATATGTGTATGTGTGTGCGTGCACATATATATATATCTCACAAATACCAGTGACAGACCTATCTAAATATTGATAATGTTTCTTCTTTTAGATTCTGAAAAAGAGTTTCACATTCTCCCTCACCGAGTTTTTGTCCCCATTCCGGGATCCGCTGTAATGTTATGTGATTACAAATTTGGCGATGAGTCAGCTGAAGAAATCAGAGACCATTTTATAGAGATGTTGGATCATAGGATTCAGATAGAAGATTTGGAAATTGCAGAGGAAATGAACACAGGTAATTATATGAGGTTATTTAAGAACTTGATTAGACTACTGCTGGTATTACCTGTGAGACAGCTAGTTTACGTATCATGTCTTTAGGTTTTCTTAAAGCTGGTTCTGTTTGACACTTCCGAGGCATTTAATAATGTGTCTGATTTCTACATGTATAAACATGGAGTCAGTATTTTCCTGGAAAACTGCACCATAATTTAAGATACTTTAGGTTTTTCCAAGTCTAGCAAGTAGGTCTTCATAAAACAAGTTTAGCCTTAAGTGGGTAGAAATACATAGTTTTAAGGTATTTTATTAAAGAGTTTTCTCAAAACTAATTTTCTTGATTATTTGGTTAAGCATCATGTCACACAGTTTTTCAAAAATACTTTATTAAATGTCTTCTTGCTACTATTTGCCTTTATTTTCCTTTCCCCTTCATATAATTGGGATGCTAAGCTGAAATGGGCAGTTCCAAAAATCAGATCAAGATTATATTTATGGAGCATAGATTTGCCATACTATCTAATTGTGTAACACATTTTCTTCCTCGAGCCATCACTTTCACATTTGACCTTGCATTTTGCAAGGCTGTTTTTTTTGTTTCGTTTTGCTTTTTGTTTCTAGGGAGTGCAAAATATGAAAACATGTCTATAAATAAATGTGTATGTGTATGACAGTCTTCCTGAAACATTTAAAAATATGTGATAAAAAGTTATTTGCAAATTATAGCTATGAATACATAGCCATTTATCAATTTTGAAATTTCTGATATCAGAGAAAAAAGAAAGGCTTCAGGTTACGTTTAAGTAAAGTGTTTATGAAATTTGAATATAGCAATTTGTAAGTTCTTTATCTAATTCTAATTTCTTAGTTATTTCTTTGTCACTTAACTAATTGCCAACCCTCACAAGAGTAGAGTGTTTGATTCAGGGCTCTCTTGTTAATATGGTGAGTCAGGTAAGTATTTGACGAATTTCAGATCTTTCAGTAAAGCCTCAGGTTAGTTGAAGAGCACCAGGTTTGTTTTCTCCAGGTTAGTATTAATCATGATGCAGAATAGTAAGTTTGTTTTAAAGGAAAAAAAAAATACTCTAAATTGTTTAGTACCTGACGTTAAAACAGCAGTTGTGTTTCAGTTTTTTGAAAACTAATATTTTTAAAGGTATAGCTATAGCATATTCCCTAGTTGATAGAAATTTTGAAAGTAGATTGGTAAAAACATTTGCTACTTTCTGAAATATGTTTCCCATATTGGTGATTATGATATCTCTGCCAACCAAACTCAGAACCATGAGGGCAGGGATTTTTGTTCATTTTACACATTCTCTTCTGTTACTAATACCTACCAACAGTCCTTGACCCATTCTGATTTTGATAACCAAATGAATTTTACATGGGAATCATTAGAAGTGATCTAGTTCATCCTCTGTCTTATAATACTGAATTCAGTATTCCTAACAGATGGGTATTGAGGCCATGCTTTAAATTTGAGAGCAACTGTCATGTTCTAAATATTTCAAAGCCAGATATTCGCGTATACCTTTGACTGTTGTCCTTATTATACTTTCCAAATCTCATTTTTTCTTACCACCTTGTTTGCCTTCCTCTAGATTAGGAATTTTTAACCTGTGGTGCCAAAACCCTTGGGATCATAGCTGGGCTTTCAGGAGATCCACAAACTACTAGAAAATAATGGTTAATTTTTTCTGGAGAAAAGATCTATAACTTTTAAGGAGTTGATGACCTAAGAAAGATTGGAAACTATTTTAAATATACACTGATTTGCCTTTCTTGACATATATTACCCAGAATTGATCCTAATACATTAATAATAATATTAGGTATTATTTATATAGAACCTTCTATGTACCTCTCTTGCTCACTGCTGTGTTTCCAGCACTTTACGAAGAACCTAGTCATAATACATTATAGGTGCTCAGTAATATTTGTTAAATGAACAGATTACTAATTTTGTCACTCCTAGGGTTTGGGTCCAAAGATCAACTAGAAACCGATCCTGTCTTCAAGTTACTAAATAGGACCTTTTTTAAAACCCGTGTACATACTAACTTTTATGTGCCCAGACTGGGTGAATTTCTTCATTACCCTTAATTGTAGTTTTGTGCTCCTCTTTTGCACTCCTTTGCATGCTTGTAATTATTTAACTCATCAGCTGCATATTTAAAGTTAATCTTCTACATTAGACTGTAAGATTTTTGAAAGTAAGTACCGAGAATGTTTATTTCTCTGAGCTCCATGCCTAAAACATAATAGGTATTCATAAATATTTATTACCCACTGACATTTACTAAGTAGGTCATTTTTTGGAACTATAGCTTTTTTTTTTCATACTTATTTTATGCTTAAAATTATCAATTTATGCCTACCCAGACATAAAGTTTTTAAGGTTTGTGTAGTGCACTACACTGAGCATGACGAAAATTTTAAAAAGGTATAACAATCCTAGCTCTATGGCTCAATAGTTCAGAACATTTTAAGGGGTGTAGAACATTTAAAACATGATAATACATAGCACTAATTGTTGCCCCGAAAATATTAATTCTAGTATATAGCATTTAGTATGTATATCGATCAAATATTTGTTAAGCATTTGCTCTGTTCAAGACAATATGATAGATCTAAATCAATGACCAGAAGTTTTTCCTTAAGAAACCTATAGTCTGATTTGAAAGATAGTTATTATGCAGAGCGTATAACAAGGTCCTATGAGTAACTAAGAATTTAATCAAGGTTAATGATTAGAATTTTTAGGTCTCCAGTGATGTAGTTAAAAATTCAATCAGAAAAAAAATTTTGACTAGGTTAACAATAACTATAATCTATAGTAACAAAGTTTTGACATTAGTATATTTTAATTTAGGTAAATTCTTTCCATTTTATATTTTTTAGGTAAATTCTTTCCATTTTAACTGAAAGCACATGCTTGTTATAGAAACTGATGCTCTGTAATATGAATATAGGGTATAATTCGAAGTATATTAAAAGTCCCACTATTTTGAATGTTTCTTTGAATTCTTTGAAATATTCTTAAAAATAATTAAAAGGCTTATTTTTAGCTTTAAGATAATATACTTCTTATCTATTATTATTAGATTTAAATGCTATTCCCTGATGAATTATTTTTATCATTTATATGTATAGTAAATATATTTTAATTTTGTTTCTCAGCTTGTCTTCAGTAAACTTTATCCTTAGCATTGTTTGAACCATGTTAAATATTAGTATAAACTAGTAACTATGAAGAATTTTAAAATAATTTTAAAAATCTTAGATGACTATAAATATTTGTCTTTTTTGTGGGTTTTTTGATTTTTGTAAGCTTTTAATATTGGCACTTAGTTGTATGTTTTGCACTGTATTTTAAAGTTATTTCCTATCTGAGGTTAATCTGAGGTTACTCAATTAATATACCTCAGATTAACTGAGTAGGAAGAGTTTAATATTATAAGGACAAAGGAAACAAAACATCAGTTTGGAAAGTTTAGGTGTGTATATTTATGCTGTGTCAAACTCATAGTTTCTAGATGGTATTTTATATTTTTCTAGTATTACATAATGTGTCGAAGACACTATTTCAGTGTGGTAGGTGTGATTCTTTTAGGACTCTGCCCTGTGTTTTGAAACTTAAATAAATCTCAACTGAGTGATCACTATTTTTTGATTGCCTATTATGTCTTATTAGGTATTAGACTTCTAGAGGTCAGATATATAGTTCTGACTCTCAAGAAGCTCACAATGTAAAGGGAAATACAGAGATATGAGTTATTCTAAAACAAGGTGATTAGTTCTGTGTTAGAGGAATGAATAGAGGATTATCAGAACATTTAGCACAGGCACTGTCCCTGAGAGGGATTCAGGGAAAGCTTCTCAGAGCAAGTGATATTTGAGTTCATTTTGAAGAATGAATACAGAAGTAATTCTATGCTTTTTAGGAATTGAACACTGGCATCAGATGTATTGGGGCCAGGAACATGACTTGTCTAGAATTATATTAGTTTTGTTTCATTAAATATTTGTTGAATTAGAAGGAATGCTTGGGTAATTAGTGTATTTTTAATAACCCACTCCCAAAATATGGGATAGAGTAAAAACATAAATATTTTAGTAGAAAAATTAAGTGCTTTTATGTAAATACCCTATTGGTTTAGAATTATATTCACTTACTCATTCGCTCATTTACTCATTCATCCATTCATTTGTTAATTTACTCAAAAATATTTGAGGAGCATTTGATATCCTACTCCCTGGCATATGTCATCAGTTTGACTCAAACTTTTATAAAAATGCGTAATTTTACCAAGATAGTATTTTAGCTGAGTCCAGGTCTGCCACTTACAGCTGTGTAACCTTAAATCTTAAATAAGTCCTCTGTTAACTCCAAATTCTCTTTGGGTTGATATGAAAATTTAGTAAAAAAATCTTAGGGAAAATACTTTGTAAACTGGGATACATAAATGCAGCGTGATATTAACTAGCATTAAGACTAAAGTTATAACTCCTGAATTATGATGAAAAACATTAATATTAAAATATGAAAGTAATATTTTATGGTGTTCATAGATTTTCATATATATTTGAAATTAGGATTTTCATATAAAATAAACCATAAAAAGTGGAGTTCAAATGTTTAAATATAAAAATTAAAATCAGTTACTGTACTTTTAGGAGCATTAAACTTGTTAAAAGTATGTAGCTTTATTTTTTAAGTATTTGATGTTATTTACTTGACTGTTATTTAATTATTTCTCTTCTATAATACAGTTGCCAAGTAGTTGCTATGTTTAAAATGCATATTTTGCCAAGTACGTATCTTAAAATAACATACTTTTAAATGACTTAATAAGAGATAGAGAACAATATGTTTGTCAAAATGACTGACTTAAGATGAGGGATAACTATGGCTTTAAAATTTCTTAGATCTTTTAGTCATCTCCTAGTAGATATTAACTTAATAATTTAGATATACTTTATCCATAGTATTGGCTGAAAATTTGGAGACACACTTTTAAAATCTGATGAAATTCATCTTTATGAATTCTTTCTTGATAGCTGAAATTAACTTTTGTTATTTGGTTAAACATTGATAATTTATTTTAAAAAATAATACTGGAGATGGATTTTTATAGTTAAGTCACTATAGTGAAACCTCATTAATTTAGGAATCAGGGATGGGGGAAAAAGAAAACTAATCAAAGAGTTCACATCTCAGCATTTCATTTTAAGCTTCTAAATAGCCCTGCCTACCTGTCAACAGCTTGGAATGAAAATGAACACATCTACCACTTAGCATGCATCCATCATGGCCCTTGTTTTATCTTTTGATGCTAGTTGCTCAAGAAGATTACTTTCTTATATGATTAATTTGGGATTTGTCTGAAGTTAAAATTACTTGATTTTAAGGAATAGTTAAGATCTAATTTCCTATTGAATCATGTTACTTGCATTTGAATTTCAGATAACATTAAAGTATTGGTAAAATAACAAACTGTCTGAGATTTGAATTAAAAGCCTACAAGCCCCACCAAAAACAAACACAAGTAAGTTGTTATGACAAGGCCTTATTCCTTCTTGAAAAATGCCCTGCCTCAGTAAAATTATTTTGAATTTGTGTCAAATCACAGGATTTTATGTGACAGATTTAAAGAAATAGGGTAATGAAATGGGATGTCTTTTTTTTATAAAAGTAAATTATTTATGCAGAGGACTTGACCTACTATGATCTTTACATATAACTAATATTAAATGTATAAGTAACATATCATCATAAATAAAACCATTTTTGTGTTCTTTATATACAAGTACTTAAGTAAAAAAAAAAAATTCCTGTAGCAAATAGGTATAGTTTATGCTTCATCCATTATTTTTGTTTATTTGTTATCTGATATAAGAATTTTAGTGACCCAAAGAAAAAGCTTCTTAGCAGTGATATTTGCTAATAGTAAAAACCAAAGTGTGTGTGTGCATGCGCATATGTGAATGTGAATAAAGTCGTTTACTGTCCATTCAACTTTTAGACCTAGAGATGAAGTTAGGAGAAATTTGAAGCTAGTAAGCTAATGCAGGCTAATGATGCTGATAGGCTAAAACTAAGGTGTTATAGCCATAAAGAAAACTAGAAGCTAGGGAAATATAGGAGATAGAATAGTTCTAGAGCTGGTTCATAATAAGAATTTGTGACTAATTTGATATGGGGGTAGAAAAAAAGAGAAGAGTGTTTTGTATATGTTTGTTTTCAAAGTACTTTAGTCATTTGCTTGAAGAGGTTAAAAAAGAATGGTGATTCCCTGATTCTCATGAGGTAATTAATTGGAATTATTTCTGAAAATGACAGCAAAGTTTTTTCTTAGTGGAAAATTGATGTGAAGTGGGCAGTTATTTTCCTTTTCTTTCATCTATTTTAGTATCATAGATATATCTATTTCAATAAGTTTATGTGTCATCCTCGTGAGTCTCTGCTAGTATTTTGTGATACACACATGTCTATGAGGATATTTTAAATACCAAGCAACAGGCTATTTTACTTTGAATTTAAACAGTAGTACTTACGGTCTCTCACTCTGGGGTTCTCTTTTCTTTTTTTGTAAATAAAGGGAACATCATGAAGTAGTTGCTTTCAAATGTAGTTCCCTAGAGTTCTATAGAATAGCATTTCACTGCCACCTCTGGGAAGGAGAAGGCATCTGGCTTCAGGAGCCCTCCATCTGGTCAGCCAGAGTAATTCCACTTGCATCTTTTTCACATACTAGAATTTTCTGTCAGACTCTTTAGCACGAGGGATCTCTAAAGCTGTGTGATCTCTAAGGCTGTTTCAGTTCATTTTTAATCGGTATCAAGTAAATTCAGCTAGGCCAACCTATGTAAATTATTGTCAGCATAATGTAAGAAAGAGAACTTATATTTGAATTATTAATCTGTTGCCCATGACCCTCGAATATGCACTTCACTTCTCAGGTTTTATTTTCCATCTGTTAAATGAGATGATGTGCTTGCCTTACTTAACATTGAGTTGTTTTAAGGTCAAATTTGTGATCATATTTTGCTTGTATGTTTCAAATTTCAGGTTAGATCAAGAGCTAGCAAACTTTTTCTGTATAGGGCCAAATAGTTAACATTTTAGGCTTTGTGGGGCATGTAAGGTCTGGCCCATTTGCTGCAAGTTTGGCCCATAGGCTACAACTTTCTGATCCCTGATTTTATTAATATCTAATTATTTCAAATTATTAATTGCCAAAACGACCAGTAAAAATGATATAAGTTAATCCCAATTAAGAGTAAAAGTTACCCTGCTCCTATCTAGTTTGATATTTGGGACCAGTTTATCTCTACTACCGTACAGTAAAAAAATTATAACTTGTGAGAGTCGTTCAGAACTAGCTTTGTGGCTCTCTGGTATCGGTTGATTATAAAAACCACAAAGTATTTTAAAAATTATGTCAGTTTCACATATATTGTATAAAATTTCATTCACCTAGATTTGATAATGAGAAATTCGATATGTTTTTGAAAAGTCAAGTTGAAAATGGAGCTCATTTTCTGTATTCTTTATAATGTTCTTTAAAACTTATTTTAAAATGGTAATTATTCTCATTTTATTTAGGACTTATTATTATTATCCTTTTGCAGTTTATGTGAGTTCTCCTGTGAATACTGAAGCTACACTGGACAACACAGATGATGAACAACCAAAACAACCAATTAAAACTACAATAGTATTGAAAATTCAGCAAAACATAGGTATTTTATTTCTTTTATAACATTGAAAATATGTATTTTAGATTTGAGTTTTCTCATTACTTTAAAATTATTTTATTTTATTTTACTTAAAACTTCTAGCTTAGTGTGTATTGAGTATTATGGAAAGTGCCAGGCCTTGAAGATAGAAAGATTTACAAGTAATGCATTATCCAAATGCTCTCAAAAATCACATATCTATTAATTTATTGGGTATTTTCAGAAGAAATGATATGAAGTTTTGTAAGTCGATTAGTATAGTAGGGCCAGTGTTTTCCAAACTGGTGTTCTCGGGATTGCTATTGCAGATTTTGATATGTGTCCTGTGAAAAAAGTCAAATTCAAATCTAGAAATTTATAATGCACTTTAGTATTTCAAAAGCTCCAAGATACTGTGCCAGTCACTTTCATAGTTTTTAGACTTATCGATAAAAGAACATGTATACCACTGTTTAGTGGAGTGCCAATTTGAGAAATGCTTGATAAGCATTAAGATTTTTGACTGAGAGCCAGAAGTTTTAGTTGTTTTTCTTGTCACTTACTCATTAGATAAGTTAGTTACCTAAATTCTTTGTACCTAAGAGTGAGAGAGAGAGAGAGAGAGAGAGAGAGAGAGAGAGAGAGAGAGAGAGAGAGTGTGTGTGTGTGTGTGTGTGTGTGTGTGTGTGTGTGTGTGTGTGTGTGTATTCTACTCTGGTCAGTTTCTTGTTTTAATTTAACAATAATCATGAGGAGAAAAATGAGTTACCAACCAAGACTTACTAATTCTTGGATTTTATAATGGTGGAAACTGAGTTTCTGTAGTTTTTAATAGTTATACAAATGCCTTTGGATTTTAATGTTTGAAAACCACACTGTACATTGGAGCTGTCTTTTGGTTTAAACTAAGTAGCATAAGACATCTGGAATGTCAATATAAATATTTATAGAAGCCTTTTAAAGTATATGTTGGTTTTTCTCTTAGATATGTATAAGTGCATACATGTGCAAGAGAGACCCGTTTTTTTTTTTTAATTTAAGATTTTGCTACAGTAGTGAAGTTCCTGATTATCAGTCTAACATTTGCAATCTATTTTTTGAATTATTGCTATATATTCCTTGAAGACTTTGCTGGCTTTTTTAGGACCATGTATATGTGTGCAAAGTATACGTGTTCGTGCATGTGTCTTGTTGTTTAGGCCCATCAGCTACCTACATTTCAGAGCGTAGGATCGGTTAAGCCTTTCGTTTGCTCATTCCATTTCCATTTGTTCTGTGTTTGTTTCACTTTTAGGTGTGATTGCAGCATTTGCAGTTGCAGTTCTTGCTGCTGGTCTCTCCTTTCATTACTTCAGTGATTAGGGTGAGGCCCAGAGAGCATCCTGATCATCATCAGAGAACATTGACTGACCATCAATTATGAATATAAAGATGCAAACAATCCATCCGCATTTAAGACAATAGCAGCCAGATTTGCTGCCATTATGCCTATTCGTAGGTGTGTTTCTGACTAAAATGAAATCACCAGCTGCCTTGTTTAGCCTTGCTGATATTATAGGTGGCTCAGGCTTCCAAAAATAAAGTTATGCATCTAGATGGAAGCCGGCATGTAACAAATCATTATTATCTATTTTTTAAAAATGTTCAAAGTGATGGTTTATTTTCACAGATTTTAGTCCTCTTAATCTGGATCACATATTCATCAAGACATTGAAAATTTGAACGGTCAGAGTTGATTGAATATCTTAGTGATAAAACAATAGGAGAAGTTTCTACGAAGTGGGGCAAATACCTACTGGGGAAACTCATACTGTACGACCTTTCTAATGGACACTCAGGTCCAGAATGCCGATCGAGTTCTGATCAAGGGATAAGAAACCTTTCCAGAAAGCTTTGCATCAGTAAGGATTGCCATAAATCATGTGCTTTGTCCAGTTAGTCTATCATAACTGCTATAATATATACATAAGACTTTTGCTTCCAGCAGTACATTAGACAAGGTACTGCAAAACCCCTAAGATCCTGAATAAAACCTACCTTTCAGTGCATTAATAGGCTCAAAGAAAGTGGGAGAAATCTCCATGAACCTTTCCTCTTTTTCCTTCCCCACAAAAGTGAGCATATCTTGAGTTGGAAGTTGTGAAAACTGCATTAAGCGCACAGGTTGACTGTGGTTGCCTGGATGGGAGATACCAGTTGTAGTACTGCTGTGTGCAGTTTGCCTCAGACCAAAAGGAAGGAGAAAAATCTTAGTCTGAGATGCTACCCTGGCCAGAACAGCTGAAGTGGCCCTCAGTTTATAGTACCCTGTAGCTCCTGGCAGAAGCAAGACAGAGGCCTAAGATTCTTATAGAGTAAGATGATGCAGTATTACCTCATGACTAGAAATCACCAGGCAAAAGTTGAGACCAGCTAGCATGAGAAAGAACTGACTTTGGATTAAATTCTCCAAGGTCTCATCACCAACATACATGAAGGATGGGACCACAGGCAAATCTAAAAAAGAAACAAATGGAACTGCTAGAAGACGTTTGTTACTTGAAATTAAAAACACACACACACACACAAAAAACCTCAGATGTGTTGAATATTGTATTAGGACTCAGCTGAAGAGACAGTGAGTAAACTGGAAGATAGATCGAAAGAAATGACCCAGTACACAGCAAGGAGAAATGAGTTGCTGGAAAATATAAATGTTAAAGAGAAGTTAAGAGGTACCGAGGAAAGAATTATAAAGACTAGAAGTACTAGGAGGGACTAGAGAGGATGGAGGAGTGGCAATATATGAAGAGTTAACAGAATTTCCCACATTTGTTGGAAAAACATGAATTTGTAAGTTCAGGAAGCATAATATATCCCATGCATATATAGATGAAATTCATGCCTAAACCAATGTACTGTAACTACAAAATACCAAACACAAGATTTTAAAAGCAAAGAGCAGAAAATATCAATGAAGGCAAGACAATCAGATACTTAATTGGTTTCTTAATGGCAACACGGTACCCAAAAGTTGGTAAAGTAATGCCTTTGGAATTCTGAGAAAAAGTATCAACTTGGAATTTCTACCATGCAAAACTGGAATAATATGTGTTCAAATGAAAAACAGATTTTATCGTCAATGGGACTTTATTTAAGAAACTGCAAAAGAATAATCTTCAAGAAGAAAATTCCAAAGGATGATCTGAAATTGAAGAACTAGAGCAAATAAATGATAAACATGTAAATCAAAAGTGTTTATATAAAACAGTCATAATGAAAGAAGTGTTTATAAGAAAAATTGTAAACAAGTAAAACTAAATAAACATTTTTGCAACATTATTGTGGACTTTTAAAACAGGATATAATGAAAAACTGGACAATTGCTTACTTATTAGATGGGAGGAGGGTGGTTAAAATTAAAGTGTTCTGACATGCTTTTATTATTCCAAAAATGGATTACTATATTGTTTAACTTTAAAATTATGTTAAATATGTATAGTAAAATTTCAGGTGAAACTGCTAAAAAATAGGTATGGGATGAATTATTCCAAAGGAAAGGAAGTTTAAAATATGGAATAGGAGGTCAATAACAGTACAAAAAAGGAAAGAAATTATAGGTGGGAAGAGGGACAAAATTAGATAATAGTATGAATTCAAATCATAAATATGAATAGACTAAAACAAGTTAACCAACAGATTAGATTTTTAAATCCAGCTATAGGCAAATAGCAAAAGGAAACTCGTATAGCTTTAGTGATAGTAATCAAAATTAGACTTTGTGATATATTAAAAATGGAGAAGGCTACTAAATAATGGCAAAAAGATCAATTCACTAATATAACACTTTAAAATTTGCATATACTTTATAAAATAACCTAAAATGTGTGAACTATAGGGCTAGGCTAAACCAACAAATTGAATAACAGATTTCAACAGCTCTCAATTATTGATAAATCAAGCAGACCAAAAAAATGAGTGAAAACATTTGAATAATTAACAATATCGATTTGATGGACATATTTAGAAAAATCCACTGTTAGAGAACATTCTTGTTAATCATTGTACATTAGCAAAAATTGACCATATACTAGGTATGAAGTCACAATAAATTTCAGAAAAATGTGTATTAAGTGGATAATCAGAAATAAGAGGTCAGTAATAAAGGTTAATTTTTAAAATACATTTACAAGTTTAATAAGACTTCATAGATGAAAGAAGAAAGCATATTTAGAACTCTATTATAAGTATGACCTTTGGAAAGTTGGATAATGCAGCAAGAACTTCACCTTGAGGGACATGGTTTTAAATGCTTAAATTCAGGAAAAAAGCTAAGTGTCTAACTTAAGTTAGGAAAAGAACAACAGACTGAACAATGTAGAAGCAAGAAGATAAAGGCAAAGGAAGAAATGAATGAAGTAGAAAACAAAGCTACCGAATCACAATGCCAAAGTTGTTTTCATGACAAAATTGGCATAATTGAACAAGAAGAAAAGGAACATAAAGATTGAAAAAGGGGTTCTAACCCATAGATACAGCAGAGATGAAAATGTTAAGAGACTACGAGGAATATCTTAATATATTTGAAAACTTAGACTAAATAGACCATGGTCTAGAAAAATGCAATTTCTTTAAGTTGGAACAAGAAGGAATAAAAAGCTAGTTAGATTTATCCAATAGTTTGAATAGTAAATGGTAGTTAAAAATTTTTTGACCAAGAAAATGTTTAGCTGACATTTATAGATGTTTTTCTCCTCTTTCAGGAACTGTATTATTTCAACATTTTCTGGAGAGTCTTCCAAATAGTAGATAAGAGAGGGAATACTCTTCGTCTCTCATTTTCTGAGGCCAGTATAACTTTTATTGTACTAGAATCGCACTTTCATTAGGAGAAAAAATTACAAATTAATGGCACTTATTAACGTAGATGTGAAAGTCAAAAGTACTATTAAACTAAATTTAACATATATAAAATGAGGTAATGAATGTATAATGATTAAGCTGTGTACATTAAAAATCAGGAACAAGGATTCCTGTTTTCTATTCATCGTCCTATAGAAAAATGTGCAAAAGACAAACCAGATATTTTAAGATGTGACTGAACATATGAAAAGATGTTTAATCTCGTGAGTGATTGACTAAGACCCCAATTAAAACCATTTTATATCTAATAAAAAATTGAGAAATATGACAATACCAATAATGTGCATCGAGAAGGCATCTTTGTAAACTGACACTCTGGAGAGCAATTTGGCATTATCTTGTAAGGTTAAGCATTCATATACTTTTTAATACCTAGCCATTCTGTGCATATACCCTAGAGAAATACTTGCATATGTGCACAGGAGTACACGTGGGAATGTTCATGGCAGCAATGTTTGTAGCCACTCAAATGTCCATTGACCAGAGAATAAAAAATAAATTGTAGGTTTGTAACTGTATTTAGCAGGTAAAATTACCTGAGAAAGTGATAATTGTCAGGAACCCACATGCAGTACGATAGTTTTTATAAAGCTTTAAAACAAGCAAATCTAAACTGTTAAGTGATGTATATAGAAATACATATATTTGTGATAAAACATTTTTTATGCAAAAGTGATGTAGCAAAAATTCAAGATTGTGGTTACTATTTCAAGGTGGGAGTGATGGCAGGACAGGAAGGCAAGAAGCGGCAAATGAATAGATGAAATGATACTAGTGATGTTTTCTTGAGTTGAAAGGGGTTTCTTGATGTTAATTTTATTTACTTAACGGCATTAATATATTTATTATGTTTGTTGTCTACTACCAACAAACCACCTCCAAACTTAATTGGCTTGAAACAACCATTTCATTTTTTTCACAATTCTAAGTTGATAAGGATCAGTGAAATGATTCAACTCCCCATGGTGTTTACTAAAGCTACAATTTTCTAGAAGCTTGATTGAGCTTGAAACATCCAAGACAGCCTATTCACATGAACGGCTGTTGATGCTGGCTGCCAGCTGGGAACTTGGCTGACTCCTCAGTTATCCTCTATGTGGCCTCTCCAGATGGCTTGGGTTTCTTCCTGTTATGATGGTGGGGATCCAAGAAGTAATATCTAAAGTAGAGAAATGTAGAAACTGAATCTTCTTGAGGTTCTGGTGTGGAAGTCTCAAAACATCATTTCCATTACATTGTGTTGGTCAAAGTAATCTGCAGGACCAGCCTGGATTAAAGAGGAAGGGGAAAAAGAACCTTTACCTCTCAGTGGACGTGCAGGTATAAGAAAAGTGCAAGATTAGTTAATGTACCCTCTGGCCATAATAATGTATGTTCCTGACATGTGGGAAATGCATTCACTACCTCCCAAAACCTTAAAATCTCATCTTAATAATTTAATATATCATCAAATCAAGGCTCAAGGTCCATCAACTTGTCATGTAAATCAGTATCAGGTACCTATGAGCCATCTTTACTGCAGTTCCTCTTGATCTGAAGATACATGAACTAAAGAAACAATGCCTGTACTAATCTATTCAGTGGCAAGACAGGCAATAAACACTCTTGCTCAAAAAAGAGGGAAAATGAGAGGTACAAAGCAGTGAATCGTCCATGGCAACTCTGAACTCCAGTTGGGAACATGTCTCTATGATTCTAGAAGCAGTGAATATATGCTGATTAAGGCCGACTTTTTCCTCCCTGAGAGTGGTTCTCAGCTTTTGTTTTTCACTAAAAAATTTTAACTTTTTAACTCTTTCTGAGTCATCCCTTATTAATTTTTGAAGATTGAAGGCCAAGAAGCCTCTTTTTATTTTGAACTGTCTCTCCCCCTTTTAGACTAAATTTATGGAATTCCTTTAAAAATATTGTATATTTCTTATAACTCAAATTATAATCCACTCTGATAGACAAAAGACACACCTACAAATCCATTCAACACGGACTTCTCTCTACTTTGACCTGAGAGGGTGCTCAAGGACAATGCCCTTAAGAATCTTAGATACCCATTGTCTACCTAGGTAGACTACAAAGTGTGCTCATAAGATTCTTAGAAGTCTTTATACCTAGTTCAGAGGTCTTTGAGGCACTGGCTTAAATATATGTGAAATTTTAAAGATTATCACAGCCATACCCTTGATCCTAACATCCTGGTGCTACATTTTACTAGTAATTCCCTGGATTTGACTTGCCAAGAGGTCATTTCCTCCTGGAGAATCTCTTGCTGGATGAAAAAGGTGTTTTGGGCTCTTTTTATTTCCTATAAATTTTGCTCCAAAAAAGAACAATTTCTTATTTAGTTCCTCTCTCTCTTCTCATATTCAGTCGTAGCCAGCTAGAAGTCATTGGCGTTTTCAATATTCTGCCTGAAAATCTTGGCCAGATCCACAAGTTTATTAGGTTACTTTTCTCCTTTAGCAATTTACATAAGCTTCTTGGTTCTACCTTTCACATTACTGCAGGTGAAAGTGTTGCCCGTTATAATAAGAATCGTCTCTCCATAACAATTTCCTTGTTGTTTAACCACCAGTTTCCTGAAGGCCCTAAAGCCTTCATCTTTTGCTCAGTTCCATATTTCAATTTTGGCCTAGTAGTACCCTACTTCTAGGTACCAATTTCTATTTTGGTAATTTCTTGCTTCATAACAAATAACCCCCAAGCTCACTGGCATTTATTAATTTTCATGACCCTGTGGATAGACTGAGCTTAGCTAGCTCAGCTGAAAGATTTTCTTCCACATAATATTGGCTGGGGCTTCGATTATCCAAGGGCTGTGATATCCAAGATAACTCGTTCACATGGTTGGTAGTTTATCTGTCTCTGCTTCACTTGACCTTTCCATGGGGCTTAGGGATTCTCATAGCATGGTAAAAAGGAAGAGCCTTTTGGAATTGCTCAAAGAATCTGTTCAAAGAAGAAGGAAGTAGAAATTGTGAATCTCTTAAGGCCTGGGCTCATATGTCCTTGACATCCTCGTCATTCCTCTGTATTCTATTGGTCAAAGCAAAGAGAGCTAGCCTAGTTTCCATGGAAGAGGAAAAAGAAGCCCATCTGTCAATGGGGGAGTATTACATGTATACAGAGAGGGAAAGAATGGATGGCATTCATCACTGGAGACTTGCTACACGTTTGCTCTTTAGTACTTGTCAAATTTTATACATGATAAAAAAAAAAAAGGAGAAAGGAGAGACAAAGAAGTTGCCCAGGGAAATAATTACTATTATTACTCAAAAAAACATAATCCATGTATTACTTTTCCCACAGTCTGCCTTTTCCTATAGCATCTCCATCTCCCTTTTTTATGTTCTGACATTTCTGTGGATATATAAAATGTCTTTTTTTTTTTACTCCGATAATGATTTGTTGAAATATAAATTAGC